CAATCCTCTGGCCACTGCTGAGTTTTCCAAATTTGCTGGCATATTGAGTGTAGCACCTTAACAGCATCATCGTTTAAAATTTTAACTGGTTCAGCTGAAATATCATCACTTCCACTGGCCTTGTTATTAGCAGTGCTTTCTAAAGCCCATTTGACTTCACTCTCCAGGATGTCTGGCTCAAGGTCAGCAACCACACTACCTGGGGTGTACAAGACATCCATATCTTTCTGGTATAATTCCACTGTGTATTCTTGCCACCTCTTCTTGATGTCTTCTGCTTCTGTTAGGTCCTTTCCACTTTTGTCTTTTATTATGGTAATCTTTGTACAAAATGTCCCTTTCATATCACCAATTTTCTTGAACAGATCTCTGGTTCTTCCCATTCACTTGTTTTCCTCTATTTCTTTGCATGGCTCGTTTAAGAAGGCCTTCTTGTCTCTCCTTGCTATTTTTGAAATCTGCATTCAGTTTCCTGTCTCTTTCACTATCTCCCTCACATTTTGCTTGCCTTCTCCCCCGCTATTTGTAAGGCCTCGTTGGACAGCCACTTTGCTTTCTTGCATTTCCTTTTCATTGGGATGGTTTTAGTTGCTGCCTCCTGTATAATGTTACAAGCCTCCATCCATAGTTCTTCAGGCACTCTGTCCACCAAATCTAAATCCTTAAACCTGTTCTTCACTTCCACTGTGTATTCATAAGGGATTTGACTTAGATTGTATCTTACCGGCCCAGTGGTTTTTCCTACTTTCTTCAGTTCAAGCTTGATTTTTGCTATAAGAAGCTGATGATCTGAGCCACAGTCAGCTCCAGGTCTTGTTTTTGCTGACTGTATAGAGCTTCTCCATCTTTGGCTGCAGAGAATATAATCAATCTGATTTCGATGCTGCCCATCTGGTGATGTGCATGTGTAGAGTCGTCTCTTATGTTGTTGGAAAAGAGTGTTTGTGATGACCAGCTTGTTCTCTTGGCAGAACTCTATTAGCCTTTGCCCTGCTTCGTTTTGAACTCCAAGGCCAAACTTGCCAGTTGTTCCTTTTATCTCTTGACTCCCTACTTTAGCATTCCAATCCCCTATAATGAAAAGAACATCCTTCTTTGGTGTCAATTCTATAAGGTGTTGTAAGTCTTCATAGAATTGGTCAATTTCAGTTTCATCAGCACCAGTGGTTGGTGCATAAACTTGGATTACTGTGATGTTAAAAGGTCTGCCTTGGATTCGTATCGAGATCATTCTATCATTTTTGAAATTGCATCCCAATACAGCTTTTGCCACTCTTTTGTTGACTATGAGGGCCACTCCATTTCTTTTACGGGATTCTTGCCCACAGTAGTAGATATGATGGTCATCCAAACTGAATTCGCCCATTCCTGTCCATTTTAGTTCACTGATGCCCAGGATGTCAATATTTATTCTTGCCATCTCATTTTTGACCACATCCAACTTACCAAGGTTCATGGTTCTTACATTCCAGGTTCCTATGCAATATTTTTCTTTACAGCATTGGACTTTCCTTTCACTTCCAGGCATATCGGCAACTGAGCGTCCTTTCGGCTTTGGCCCAGCCGCTTCATCAGCTCTGAATCTACTTGTACTTGTCCTCCGCTCTTCCTCAGTAGCATGTTGGACGCCTTCCGACCTGAGGGGCTCATCTTCCAGCGTCATAACTTTTATATTCCTGTTGTCTTTGTCCATGGGGTTTTCTTGGCAGGGATACTGGAGTGGCTTGCCGGTTCCTGCTCCAGGTCGATCACGTTTCCTCAAAACTCTCCACTATGACCTGTCCATCTTGGGTGGCCCTGCACGGCATTGCTCATAGCTTCTCCGAGTTATTCAAGCCCCTTCACCATGGCAAGGCAGTGATCCATGAAGGGGATAGTTTACCTAAGTGTTTGCTTTCTTTTGTCTCCCTTGAGTCTTTCAAAATTCAGTTTCATTGCATGTCCTCAGATTATAATCTTATGGGATAATGTGTGTGTTTTTTGTGTGTTTATCCACTTTCAAAACATGAAGTCTGTCCAGCAGAAGCAAGACAGAAGCAGGAAAACCCACCACATGCATAATCTCTCTATTGTTTCAGCGCATTGCCAAAGAACTACCAGCATGCCCTTTCCTTAGTCTTTGCTGTGAATGAGGTCAACAAGAACCCCAACATTTTATCCAACATCACTTTGGGGTTCCAGATCTATGACAGCTACAGTGATGCAAAGATGACTTATCAGAATACGTTGAACCTCATCTCTCATCCTAGGAAAACCATCCCCAACTACAAGTGTGGTGTTGAGAAGAACCTGATAGCTGCCATTGGGGGCCTTGACTCTGAAACTTCAAGCCACATGGCCTCCATCTTGGAGCTTTATAAGGTTCTACAGGTAGGAAGAGTGTGGCTGGAATGAAGACTCCACAACTGTTGTATATGATTTAGCCTTAGTGTGTATTCCCAGGGCATTGGGAGGGGGAGGAAAGGAGACTTATTTTTGGCAGGCTAAAACAAAAAAGTCTTACGTATTTTTCTTTTTCAAATAACATAGTTATCTGTAGAAAATAATGTCCAGAATTGTCAACTGATTATGCCAAACTCTGCCTCTGCCTCACTAGCATATGTCTGATGGACCTTGGTAGTTTTCAGCCCTGTAAAGGTCCCTGTGGGAAGAAAATATGGGAAGGAACCCATGCTTTAGAAGATTCTCCAAATTTTGCTCTGAAGTATCACATGGAAATCAGCTCTTTTTCCTCCAAGCACCATTTTTGGTGTGGTGTAATCTGAAGGAAAGGTGTAGGGTGAAGACTTTGGTTGGTGCGATGAAAACTCACCAATGTATCCAATCCAGCACTCACCATAATGCATTTGCACTGTTTCAACCTAATGGAATGGAGTTAATGGAATGGTTCTGGTCCCAATCTCTCCCTCTGCTGAAGCATGAGGTATGTTTGGTTATTTAAAGACACATAAATATCCTACCTGGTGATTTAAAAATCCCTCTGTTCTTTGCTAGATCACCTATTCTTCATTTACTCCAGCGGTGAGTGAAAAAGACCATATTTCTTCCTTGTACCAAATGGCCCCCAGTGAAGAACATCAATACACTGGCATTGTTCAGCTTCTTCTCTATTTCCAGTGGAAATGGGTTGGGATATTTGTCACAGCTGATGATAAAGGAGAAACGTTTGTGAAAATGTTGACACACCAGCTTTCCCAGAATGGCATATGTGTAGCTGTCACTGAAAGAGTGGTAAACCACAGTGGTTTTGATGTTACTGGGTTGATAGAGAAATGTCAGAATACGGCCGAGTCCCTAAGCAAAACAAACGTCAATGTATTTGTTGTCAATGCAGACAAAAGCAGCAAGACAGGTTTGCAATGGCTGCTACTGATAGGTAGAGAGATGAGTATGAGTCCCATAAACAAAGTGTGGGTTATGACCGCCGACTGGGATTTCTCTTCAGAACCATACCACAAAGATCTGGATGTACTAAACTTCCATGGTGCCTTATCCTTTGCCATTCATTCCAGTGAGGTGAAGGGGTTCCACCGTTTCCTCCTGAACCTAAATCCCCACTCTGAGGCCGATGGCTTTATCAGGTTGTTCTGGCAACAGGCATTTGGTTGCCAGTTTCTAGATGTGGAAACGGAGGAGGGATCCTGCACTGGTGAGGAGAAGCTGGAGAGCCTTCCTGGGGCTTTTTTTGAAATGCAAATGACCAGCCAAAGCTACAGCATCTACAATGCCGTCTATGCTGTGGCACATGCTTTGCATGCCATGTTGGCATCCAGAACCAAATATGGAGGGATGATGCTTGAGCACTATGTGGGACTTCATGAGCCACAATATTTTCAGGTAATGTCTAACACGGAAAGCAGATCATTTTTTTAATGAATAGCCCAATCATAATGTGCTTGGAGAGCACATACAGAGGCTTCCACATCCACAGAGAATGTTGCTTTTTCATTCGGTTGTTTGGAAAGTTGTAAGTACAGTATTTATTATTATAAGGGCACAGAAGTGCTCCTAATGAAGGTGAGAATCAAACACATGGTTCCTTGAGTATAGGCTGCAGAAATCTATTGCTAATAAAAGGGTGTTTCTTCAGAAACTAAGGATATTTGTTATATATTTCTGAAGCTATCAATAGATTGTTCAAATTTCAATGAGATCTGATATAAAATACAACAATTAAGTTCAAAAGTGCTAACAAACACACTTGTAACCTTTTTCTTCTACCCAAACATGCCATATATTTCTATCCAGTTGTGATAAAAACTGCTGAAGTACTTTATTCAGGTTCGTTAAGGAACACACATTTTCATTAGTTTGGTGAAATTCGATAGGCAATACAAGAGTTTTGTTGTATTAAATTCTATGTAAGTTGCCAGCAAATTTACGGTAAGCCAAATGTCTTGCCAATACTGCAACGCTTGAATGTTTTTAGCAAGAACTGACAAAAGTTGAACGAAAATGTTGAACTTAGGTTTGATGGCTATGGATTGGGGATTAAATCTGTGAATTAAAGTTTAAACCTCCTGTTCAGCATGTGTGGGAGAAATATGAGGCCAAACAGGCTGTGAAGCCCTTTTTTTAGCAGAATAAAACCACTTATGCAATTTGCAGCTTCCTGGAAGCGAGGAAATAGGAAATTTCACAATTTTTCCCTGTTTATTTGTGTTCTGCTGATCTTTCCCCAGTTTCTACCCGTTTCTATGAATAAACCACACAAATTTGTAAAAGTAGAAAGGTTTACTTATATTCAATGAAGGCAGCTACTACTTCTAGGTAAAAAAATGCTTCTTAGTTGTGATATACAAAATTAGTTTCTAAAATGGAATCTAGGAAAGTATGTGTCCCCTTAAAACTCAGGGGGAGTTTCAACAAATAGTATGAATTGATCGCAGCATGAGAAAACAGAAGCTTTGTGGTGTGTTCTCTATTTTTACCAAATCTACCATTCTCTTTCTGCCTCTGTAGCTTCAACCTTTCCTGAGGAATATCTTGTTTAACAACAGTGCGGGGGACACTGTGTTTTTTAATGAGAAACGTGAGCTAGAAGGTGGATTTGATATTATCAACTGGGTAACTTTCCCAAATAAGTCCTTCTTAAGAGTGAAAGTTGGGAAGATGGATCCCCAAGCACCACTGGGCAGTGATTTCTCCATTGATGAGAAGAGCATTACATGGCACCAGAGTTTTAACCAGGTAGGACCCAATTGCAGCTTCTGAGGTCTATAGGTAGACATGCACCAGATTTGTTTGTTAATCATTTACACCCTATGGAAGGAGTTCCTTTTAGCTGCATTGATTTCTGTTGTTGCCATGTTACGTAAGTTATTTTTCTTAATGTGTAATGTGAATTAAAAATCCAATAATTATATAAATTTTAGAAGACTTTTAGAAGACATCTGAAGGCAGCCTTGTTTAGGGAAGCTTTTAATGTTTGATGCATTACGGTATTTTAATATTTTGTTGGAAGCCACCCAAAGTGGCTGGGGAAGTCCAGCCAGATGGGCGGGGTATAAATAATAAATTATTATTATTATTATTATAAACATTTTAGAATAAGAACATCCACATGCTACAAGCACAGTCATCATGCAATGCAAAATTGTGCTTCGTAGGAATCTTTAGTATCATTTCTGTGATTCATTTCTTTAAAGGAACCAAGTTGCCACTTCTCATCTTTAAAAAAATATTATAAAAGGAAACACATATCAGTAGGTCCATTGTCTTGCACATTTTCTTTCCTGAACCATTTACTGGCTGATTGGCTCAGTTGGTTAGAGCATGGTGTTGATAATGCCAAGGTCACAGGATTGATCCCATTTTAGGACAGCTGCATTACAGGGGGGTTGGAATAAATTATTCTCAAAGTTCCTTCCAATGCTACAATTTTTGATTCTATTGCCTTTTTTATTGGGTTAAATATCCACTAATATTGGTGATTGTCACAACCATTGTAAAGTTGGCGGTGCTAATTAATTATTTTTTAAAAAAACAAAAAACAACCCTCTGGGTGCCTTATTTCAATGCAGCAGCCTGTTGATGAAAAGGCAGAGACCAAACACAAATAGAATAGAATACATGCAATACCTTCTGTTTTATGGGCAGGTGGTGCCCCTTGCCTTGTGTAATGACCACTGCCATCCAGGTTACAGCAGACAAAGGAAAGAGGGGAAACCATTTTGCTGCTATGATTGTACTCCATGTCCAGAAGGGAAGATTTCAAACCAGACAGGTAAGGTACTGTATGCTATAGTATATCAACTATATTGAGAACATGTTTTTGTTAGCCATTTGTGAACAAACAGACGTCTTACAAAAGACTTGAAGATAAACCTTTACTTGTCCGGTTGTCAACTGTTGAACAACAAGTATTATTCATATATATATATATAAATGCAATGTGCTTCTGTCCCTTGAGCCCACTGAGAAGCTTTAGTCCTTTTTTGTTTTCAAAGCTCCTTCATAGCAGAGCATAAGTTTATAATCCATATCTTGCCCATCCTCAAAAACTCCCCCAGAGAGTGTCTGCTTGAAGTCACTAAACTCCCACGCTCTCAATCAAAGATGCAACTAACAGTAGAACCAACCAACCGTCAAGTACCAACTACCTTCTTCTTCCCCAATACCATTTATTTTTTGTGAAATATATTTACTGTTCTTAAACCACTGTACAAGTGTATTAAATGCTGTACCACTGTACAAGTGTATTATCATAAACAATATTATAAATTGCTAACCAGCATATCTTCTGCTTACCTCCACACCTGAAAACTTCATGGATTGCATGGACAGCAACTTACTTGATCACCAAAATTCTAGAAATGTCAATTCAAGAGAATTTTTTTGGCCATATTCCTAGGTGTGTTAACTGGATTATATTAGCACCTTTAGTCTTCCGTTGACATTAAGCTTCCTTTCTGGGGAAAGGAAATTGGTAAATGTAACTTCCTATTTTACAACCATTTCTACTGGTAAGCTGTGAAACATTAATGTTTAATTATTATTTCTCCATTCAGATAGCAAGGAAAGCTCCTATTGTTAGAATGGGGACTTTTTTCTCTCTAAACACACCAACTTTCAATTCTATGCATGTGTAAACACAAACATTTATGGAGCTTATGATTTAGATTTAATTCTCATTTAATTATCCACTGAAAAGAATCTTCCAAAAATAGCTTACCTTAAAGACAAAACATGTTAACACTATAACAATTTCCTGAAAAAGATAATGTTTTGTATCATGTATACTGTGAATTACATTGAATTATAGTACAGTGACATTCAAAGTTTCCTGATCCGATACCATAAATATTTATATCTCAGTGAGACTGAAAATACTATAACTGTAATCCTGATTTCTTTATACTGCAAGATATGGATGACTGCTTTCAGTGCCAAGAAGATCAGTATCCTAACCAAGAGAGAAACCAGTGCATCAGCAAGAAAGAAAACTTCCTATCTTATGAAGCACCTTTAGGCATCAGTTTGGCTCTTTTGGCTCTGGCTTTTTCTGTAACTACGGCTTTGGTGTTTGGAATCTTCATCAAACATCAAAACACTCCCATTGTCAAAGCCAACAACCGGAATCTCACCTACACCCTGCTCATCTCCCTCCTGCTCTGCTTCCTCTGCTCCTTGCTATTCATTGGGCGCCCCCAGTTACTGACCTGCAATCTACGACAAACTGCCTTTGGTATTATCTTCTCAGTGGCTGTTTCTTCTGTTTTGGCTAAAACCCTCACGGTGGTTCTGGCTTTCATGGCTACCAAACCAGGATCCAAGATGAGGAAATGGGTGGGGAAAAGATTTTCCACCTCTATTATTCTCTGTTGCTCACTTATCCAAGCAAGTATTTGTACAGCATGGCTGGGTACTGACCATCCATTCCCAGATCTGGACATGCACTCTCTGCCTGAAGAAGTCATAGTGGAATGCAATGAAGGATCAGCCAACATGTTCTACTATGTTCTTGGTTACATGGGATTGCTGGCTCTTGTCAGCTTCATTGTGGCTTTCTTTGCTCGGAAGCTGCCGGACACTTTTAATGAAGCCAAATTTATTACTTTCAGCATGTTGGTGTTTTGCAGTGTGTGGCTTTCTTTTGTTCCATCCTACTTAAGCACCAAAGGGAAGTACATAGTGGCTGTGGAGATCTTCTCCATCTTGGCCTCCAGTGCTGGAATCTTGGGTTGTATTTTCTCCCCAAAATGTTATATCATTGTCTTCAAGCCTGAACTCAACTCAAAAGAGCAACTAAAAAAGAGAAATAAGTAACAATCTAACTATTAAAATCATTATAGTGGATAACGTTTTAAATTTTTTCAGGTTTGTGTGTTTGGGAAGGGTTCAGCTTTCAGGTTCTCTTGATATAGATGTTGCTTACTGTCAGAACTGCAGTTGTCAAAATGTGGAAAACCTTACAGTAATTGCAACCTGCTCCAGTATAAAAATATGTGTTGTTTAGTACTAGTTGAAAGGTTTGCTCATAAAAAAATATGTTTTCAAAAGCCGTGAATATCTTGAAAAATTCTGTGCAGTTTGGTGGTGTTTTATCATGTACAGAACACAAGAGAGAGACAAAGGAGTCCCTTTCCATGGTACAACATGAAATTTGGCCTTCCTAATGATCTCAAGTATTCTACTTATCTAATTAACTCTCTTTCAAATATATTGCTTTTATGTATTTATACTTGTACTTCTACACCTAATATTTTTATTGTATTGTTCTACTTGATTTACTTTGATTAATTAATATAGAACATGATAGTAGAGTTGGGCGAGACCCTGAAGGTCATCCAGTCCCAACCCCGGAATGCAGGAATCTCAGCTAAAGCACCCGTGACACATGGGCATCCAACCTCTGCTTTAAAACCTCCAATGAAGAAGAGCCCACTACTGCCTGAGGGAGTCCCTTCCACTGTCTAACAGCTCTTACTGACAAAAAGTTCTTCCTGATGTTTAGTCGTGGAATCTCCTTTCTTGTACAGTGGTACCTCGGGTTTCATATGCTTCAGGTTACATATGCCTCAGGTTACAGACTCCACTAACCCAGAAATAGTACTTCAGGTTAAGAACTTTGCTTCAGGATGAGAACAGAAATCGTGCTCCTGCGGCGCGGTGGCAGCAGGTGGCTCCATTAGCTAAAGTGGTGCTTCAGGTTAAGGACAGTTTCAGGTTAAGAACGGACCTCCGGAATGAATTAAGTACTTAACCCGAGGTACCACTGTAACTTGAATCCATTCGTTTAGGTCCTACCCTCCAGAGCAACAGAAAACAAGCTTGCTCCAACTACCATGTGACAGCCCTTAAGATATTTGAAGATGGCAATTATATAAACATACTACAAAGATATTAAACATATCATGGCTAAACATACACAGCCCATTCAACTCTTTCTCCTAAGGCTTGGTTTCCAGACCCTTGATCATCTTGATTGCCCTACTCTGTACAAGCTCCACCTTGTCAACATCCTTCTTCCATTATGGTGTCCAAAATTGCATACAGTAGTACAAGGCAGAATAGAGTGGTACTATTACTTCCCTTGGGACGCAGGTGGCGCTGTGGGTAAAACCTCAGCGCCTAGGACTTGCTGATCGCATGGTTGGCGGTTCGAATCCCCGCGGCAGGGTGCTCTCCCGCCGTTCGGTCCCAGCGCCTGCCAACCTAGCAGTTTGAAAGCACCCCCGGGTGCAAGTAGATAAATAGGGACCTCTTACCAGCGGGAAGGTAAACGGCGTTCCGTGTGCTGCGCTGGCTCGCCAGATGCAGCTTGTCATGCTGGCCACATGACCTGGAAGTGTCTGCGGACAGCGCTGGCTCCCGGCCTATAGAGTGAGATGAGCGCACAACCCTAGAGTCTGGCAAGACTGGCCCGTACGGGCAGGGGTACCTTTACCTTTATTACTTCCCTTGATATGGACCTTATACATTTGTTGACGCAGCCTAGAACAGAATTAGGTCTTTGCTGCTGCATCATACAGTTGACTCATGCTAAATTTGTTGTCCACCAAGACCCCTAGATCTTTTTCCCATGTGCCTGTACTGCTAGTAAGCTAGGTTTCCTCCATCTAATATTTGGGAACCTGGTTCTTATTATGTTATTCCTTATTGAAATTCATTTTGTAACTTGGGCCCAGTTCTCCAATGTGTTATGGTTATTTTGAGTTCTGATTCTGTCCTGTGAAAGCAACTGTCAAGCTTTGCAATGCTTGTGCTGGTAGTGCTGTTCTCTCATAAGGAGTTCAAATTCCATAATTTGAAATGTATTGCAAATGATCCTGTTTATGTCCTACATACATGGCACCAGCCAGGTGAAATCTTTCTTGGTTGGATTGTGTCTTTTATTATCCTTTTCTGATGCTGACCTCAAGAGATCCCACATCTCAGGAGCATATTAATGTTCCACTGTAAGCCACTATCCCTCCCTCCTCCCTGATATGTGCTTTGATTATATTCCATAAGTGATTCCAATTTTATCCCTATCAAAGGGTGTGTTTACTTTGAGGGGGCCCTGCCCCGTGATTGGAAAGGACTTTCACAACCATCTCAAGTATCTTGCCCCCACGCTGCCTTGCCCCTGTGATCAGGGGTGCCTGGGCAGTGTGACATCAGCAGGCCATGCACACATTCCGTGGGGTGTTCTGATGTCACTTGCACACACTGTGGGGTGTGTTGACATGTTATGCAGACGCCCCATGGCTTACGCATGGGTCACAACATGCTGACATCACGTGGCCCGTGTGCCATCAATTGTGGTGGCACAGTGGGGTGACGCGAGCATGCCCTTTGGCGTGCGCCACAATGGCTGCCATGAAATGTTGAGGGAGCCCTGCCCCTTCCTTGAAAATTTTCAGGGGAAGTCCCCACCCCCCACTTAGCACCCCTGTCACTGGGTCATAGCTTCTGGGTCCAAAAAGGTTCTCTTAAAGAGGGGATGTGCCATTGCCTCTATCATGCCACACACTTTACTCTGAGCTGCTCTGGGACTGCCCATTCTCCCCTGTATCACATTTTCATTTTATTTAAGCTATGCAGCTATGAGCTGGGTTTTCCTTGGGTGTTTTAATAAACATCCCCTTTATACCTGCTGCCACCACAGATCACTTTGATCTGTCAACTTAATCCCTCATGTAGGCAAGAAAGAGGCCTTGTCCTGAACCCAGGCATCCTCTCAGGTAAGTCGTGATACTGCACACAGCGAGTGTCAGGGTCTGGCAGGATGTGGAAGAGTGGTGGCAGCTAGTGGTCCAGGAGGCACCTGAGGGTGAAAGGGATTTTGAACCAGGTTCAGACTGGTGGGACAGGGAGGAATCACCAGCGGAGAGTGAGGGTGAAGGGGAGCAGCTTGAGGTAACCACAGATGCTGATAGAGAAGGAGCGAGGGCTATGTCTCCTGCTCTGCAATACAGTCCTGATTGAGCTCCTTCCCCTGCTCCACTCCCAGCGCTAGATAAGAAGGGAAGGAAAAGGCTAGAATGATTAAGAAAGCTGAGTCACCGTGAAAAAAATGCAAGGACAGAGGTATAAATAAGGGGGAGAGATGACAGAATTTTAGCTTCTGCAACTGATGTGCTTATCTGATGGATGTACCATGTGCTGACGCCTTGATTACTTGAGCTATAAAGTTGATTTCTGCAATCACAGTGCCTGGTTCTGCTTAGAGCATTAGACAACAGACAGGGGCTTTTCTGGCAGCCTGACAGTGAGCAACAAAGTACTCAATGCTAATGGACGCCATGCTTGCAAAACAGAAAAACAACCACATGTTAACACTGGCCAAGTTCTGAGTGAACAATTTCTTCCTTCCTTTGTTAGCCAAAATGCTGAACCTGACCACTTTTTCATGCAAGTTATTTTCTATAGTGTGGAACATTCCTTTCTCTGGAGCATAATGGAACACCAGCCTTTCCATTTTCTCCCATGGCCTGGCTAATCCCCTATTATTTTCATTCAGATCTTCCTGAAACCAGGTGCTCTACCTGATCTGCAATGCAACAAATAATATCTTCTCAAGGGGGCAAAACATATTTTGTTCAATGTTTCTGCTGCACATGGTGCCACAGACCAAGCAACCCCACTGGGACAGTGTACCATGTTATTATCTTAACACAGAGCAGTTCATTCTTTCTCTAGCAATATCCATAAGGTATTTTGCAGCCCATATGCCACAGAGAAACAGCAGAATGCTTATAAAATACCACCCTAGTGCCAATGACAGCTATTCTACCATTTATACACAAAGACTAGACCTGCTATGCTGACATTGGGTGAGGATAAGCATTTTAGACTTAAGCAGGTGATTTATGGTTAAGAGGAGAAGCTCATCATCTCAATAATGCTAAGTTTAGCCTTCTGGGTCCTTCTCATGGTGTTTCCTCTATTTTTGGAACGTTCTGCTTTGCATTGTGTCATTGACCTCCTCCACGCCCAACACCAGTATTATCAGCCAGGGCATTTTGTTATTGGTGGCATCACTTCACAATTCTTTGAACCTGTCTTCACTTCAATAGAGTTCGAGGAGAAGCCAGAGGAAACAACTGATGATGAATATGTGTAAGGACATGATTTTTATTCTTTTGGGGGGAAAGCTCCTGGTTATGTAGGTAAATAATAAAAATTAGATAATAAACATGATAGTATGATCAAAAAGCAGTCTCCTCAATGTTGGCAGGTGGCTAGTAGGATTTGTAGTAGAGAGGACAGGCAAACCATCAGTAGACTGAGCTAGAGTCAATGACATGGGACCATCGCCTGGACTGTCCATAAGTAGGACTAGGGGAGAACATTAGCTTAATTTACATTGAAAGGCACACCTAACTAATTCAGATTTCCTGAAATGTTTCTAAAACCAAAACACTGACATCCATTGAAATTCATATTTTTCCCTTCTGCACTTTTTTCCTACTCTGCCCTTCAGCATTTGTGTCATACATTTCATTCTGTTCTCCACAAAGACTTCATTAGAACCAGCAAATGTTAGAAGGGCCCTACTGGCTCCACCCAAAGGACCATATAGCCCTCCACTGTGATCTCACAGTGGCCAACCAGATGGCCATGAGAAACCCACAAGCAAGTCCTGAGCATTACAGCAGTCTTCTCAGCTCCTGTTCCCAGAAACTGGGATTCAAAGGCATGGTGCCTCCAATGGTGGGGAGAGAACCTAGCCACTGTGCTTAATAGCTATATCCATCATTACAAATGTCAAATCTTCATTTAAAGTCATATAAGTTGGTAGTCATCAGTAACACTTGCGGGAATAAATTTCATAGTTTACCTGTTGTTGTTGTTGTTGTTTAGTCGTTTAGTCGTGTCCGACTCTTCGTGACCCCATGGACCAGAGCACGCCATGCACTTCTGTCTTCCACTGTCTCCCGCAGTTTGCTCAGACTCATGTTTGTAGCTTCGAGAACACTGTCCAATCATCTCGTCCTCTGTCGTCCCCTTCTCCTTGTGCCCTCAATCTTTCCCAACATCAGGGTCTTTTCCAGGGAGTCTTCTCTTCTCATGAGGTGGCCTTTCGCATGATGAATTCTGCATATAAGTTAAATAAGCAGGGAGACAATATACAGCCTTGCCGTACTCCTTTCCCAATTTTGAACCAATCAGTTGTTCCATATCCAGTTCTAACTGTAGCTTCTTGTCCCACATAGAGATTTCTCAGGAGACAGATGAGGTGATCAGGCACTCCCATTTCTTTAAGAACTTGCCATAGTTTGCTGTGGTCGACACAGTCAAAGGCTTTTGCATAGTCAATGAAGCAGAAGTAGATGTCTTTCTGGAACTCTCTAGCTTTCTCCATAATCCAGTGCATGTTTGCAATTTGGTCTCTGGTTCCTCTGCCCCTTCGAAATCCAGCTTGCACTTCTGGGAGTTCTTGGTCCACATACTGCTTAAGTCTGCCTTGTAGAATTTTAAGCATAACCTTGCTAGCATGTGAAATGAGTGCAATTGTGCAGTAGTTGGAGCATTCTTTGGCACTGCCCTTCTTTGGGATTGGGATGTAGACTAATTTTCTCCAATCCTCTGGCCACTGCTGAGTTTTCCAAATTTGCTGGCATATTGAGTGTAGCACCTTAACAGCATCATCATTTAAAATTTTAACTAGTTCAGCTGAAATATCATCACTTCCACTGGCCTTGTTATTAGCAGTGCTTTCTAAGGCCAATTGACTTCACTCTCCAGGATGTCTGGCTCAAGGTCAGCAACCACACTACCTGGGGTGTACAAGACATCCATATCTTTCTGGTATAATTCCACTGTGTATTCTTGCCACCTCTTCTTGATGTCTTCTGCTTCTGTTAGGTCCTTACCACTTTTGTCCTTTATTATGGTAATCTTTGCACAAAATGTCCCTTTCATATCACCAATTTTCTTGAAGAGATCTCTGGTTCTTCCCATTCACTTGTTTTCCTCTATTTCTTTGCATGGCTCGTTTAAGAAGGCCTCCTTGTCTCTCCTTGCTATTTTTTGGAAATCTGCATTCAATTTCCTGTATCTTTCACTATCTCCCTCACATTTTGCTTGCCTTCTCTCCTCCGCTATTTGTAAGGCCTCGTTGGACAGCCACTTTGCTTTCTTGCATTTCCTTTTCATTGGGATGGTTTTCATTGCTGCCTCCTGTATAATGTTGCGAGCCTCCATCCATAGTTCTTCAGGCACCCTGTCCACCAAATCTAAATCCTTAAACCTGTTCCTCACTTCCACTGTGTATTCATAAGGGATTTGACTTAGATTGTATCTTACCGGCCCAGTGGTTTTTCCTACTTTCTTCAGTTTAAGCTTGATTTTTGCTATAAGAAGCTGATGATCTGAGCCACAGTCAGCTCCAGGTCTTGTTTTTGCTGACTGTATAGAGCTTCTCCATCTTTGGCTGCAGAGAATATAATCAATCTGATTTCGATGCTGCCCATCTGGTGATGTCCATGTGTAGAGTTTTCTTTACAGCATTGGACTTTCCTTTCACTTCCAGGCATATCGGCAACTGAGCGTCCTTTCGGCTTTGGCCCAGCCGCTTCATCAGCTCTGAATCTACTTGTACTTGTCCTCCGCTCTTCCTCAGTAGCATGTTGGACGCCTTCCGACCTGAGGGGCTCATCTTCCAGCGTCATAACTTTTATATGCCTTTTGTCTTTGTCCATGGAGTTTCCTTGGCAGGGATACTGGAGTGGCTTGCCGGTTCCTGCCCCAGGTCGATCACGTTTGGTCAAAACTCTCCACTATGACCTGTCCATCTTGGGTGGCCCTGCACGGCATTGCTCATAGCTTCTCTGAGTTATTCAAGCCCCTTCGCCATGTCAAGGCAGTGATCCATGAAGGGGATAGTTTACCTAAGTGTTTGCTTTCTTTTGTCTCCCTTGAATCTTTCAAAATTCAGTTTCATTGCATGTCCTCAGATTATAATGTTATGGGATAATGTGTGTGTTTTTTGTGTGTTTATCCACTTTCAAAACATGAAGTCTGTCCAGCAAAAGCAAGACAGAAGCAGGAAAACCCACCACATGCATAACCCCACTATTTTTTTCAGCACAGTGCTGAAGAACTACCAGCATGCCCTTTCCTTAGTCTTTGCAGTGAATGAGGTCAACAAGAACCCCAACATTTTATCCAACATCACTTTGGGGTTCCAGATCTATGACAGCTACAGTGATGCAAAGATGACTTATCAGAATACGTTGAACCTCATCTCTCATCATAGGAAAACCATCCCCAACTACAAGTGTGGTGTTGAGAAGAACCTGATAGCTGCCATTGGGGGCCTTGACTCTGAAACTTCAAGCCACATGGCCTCCATCTTGGAGCTTTATAAGATTCTACAGGTAGGAAGAGTGTGGCTGGAATGAAGACTCCACAACTGTTGTATATGATTTAGCCTTAGTGTATATTCCCAGGGCATTGGGAGGGGGAGAGGGAAAGGAGACTTCTTTTTGGCAGGCTAAAACAAAAAAGTCTTACGTATTTTTCTTTTTCAAATAACATAGTTATCTGTAGAAAATAATGTCCAGAATTGTCAACTGATTATGCCAAACTCTGCCTCTGCCTCACTAGCATATGTCTGATGGACCTTGGTAGTTTTCAGCCCTGTAAAAGGTCCCTGTGGGTAGAAAAAATGGGAAGGTTTCAGAACCCATGCTTTAGAAGATTCTCCAAATTTTGCTCTGAAGTATCACATGGAAATCAGCTCTTTTTCCTCCAAGCACCATTTTTGGTGTGGTGTAATCTGAAGGAAAGGTGTAGGGTGAAGACTTTGGTTGGTGCGATGAAAACTCACCAATGTATCCAATCCAGCACTCACCATAATGCATTTGCACTGTTTCAACCTAATGGAATGGAGTTAATGGAATGGTTCTGGTCCCAATCTCTCCCTCTGCTGAAGCATGAGGTATGTTTGGTTATTTAAAGACACATAAATATCCTACCTGGTGATTTAAAAATCCCTCTGTTCTTTGCTAGATCACCTATTCTTCATTTACTCCAGCGGTGAGTGAAAAAGACCATATTTCTTCCTTGTACCAAATGGCCCCCAGTGAAGAACATCAATACACTGGCATTGTTCAGCTTCTTCTCTATTTCCAGTGGAAGTGGGTTGGGATATTTGTCACAGCTGACGATAAAGGAGAAACATTTGTGAAAAAGTTGACACCCCAGCTTTCCGGAATGGCATATGTATAGCTGTCACTGAGACAGCGGTAAACTACCGCGGTTTTGATGGTTTGGGGATGACAGAGAAATATCAGAATATGGCCGAGTCTCTAAGCAAAACAAATGTCAATGTATTTGTTGTCAATGCAGACAAAAACACCAAGACAAGTTTGCAATGGCTGCTACTGCTAGGTGGAATGTTGAGTGTGAGTCCCATAAACAAAGTGTGGGTTATGACCGCCGACTGGGATTTTTCTTCGGAGCCATACCACAAAGATCTGGATATACAAAACTTCCATGGTGCCTTATCCTTTGCCATTCTTTCCACTGAGGTGAAGGAGTTCCACCATTTCCTCCTGAACCTAAATCCCCACTCTGAGGCTGATGGCTTTATCAGGTTGTTCTGGCAACAGGCATTTGGTTGCCAGTTTCTAGATGTGGAGACGGAGGAGGGATCCTGCACTGGTGAGGAGAAGCTGGAGAGCCTTCCTGGGGCGTTTTTTGAAATGCAAATGACCAGCCAAAGCTACAGCATCTACAATGCCGTCTATGCTGTGGCACATGCTTTGCATGCCATGTTGGCACTCAGAACCAAACAGGGAGAGATGGTGCTTGGTAACTATCTGAGACTCAAAGGCTGCATTTCCAGGTAATGTCTAGCATTGGAAAGCAGATCATTTTTTTAAATGAATAGCCCAAGCATAATACTAAAGCTTGGAGACAACCTACAGCCACAGAGAATGTTGCTTTTCCATTCAGTTCTTTGGAAAGGTATATGTATTTATTATTATAAGGGCACAGAAGTGCTCCTAGTGAAGGTGAGAATCAAACACATGGTTCCTTGAGTATAAGCTGCAGAAATCTATTGCTAATAAAAGGGCGTTTCTTCAGAAACTAAGGATATTTGTTATATATTTCTGAAGCTATCAATAGATTGTTCAAATTTCAATGAGATCTGATATAAAATACAACAATTAAGTTCAAAAGTGCTAACAAACACACTTGTAACCTTTTTCTTCTACCCAAACATGCCATATATTTCTATCCAGTTGTGATAAAAACTGCTGAAGTACTTTATTCAGGTTCGTTAAGGAACACACATTTTCATTAGTTTGGTGAAATTCGATAGGCAATACAAGAGTTTTGTTGTATTAAATTCTATGTAAGTTGCCAGCAAATTTACGGTAAGCCAAATGTCTTGCCAATACTGCAACGCTTGAATGTTTTTAGCAAGAACTGACAAAAGTTGAACGAAAATGTTGAACTTAGGTTTGATGGCTATGGATTGGGGATTAAATCTGTGAATTAAAGTTTAAACCTCCTGTTCAGCATGTGTGGGAGAAATATGAGGCCAAACAGGCTGTGAGGCCCTTTTTTTAGCAGAATAAAACCACTTATGCAATTAGCAGCTTCCTGGAAGCGAGGAAATAGGAAATTTCACAATTTTTCCCTGTTTATTTGTGTTCTGCTGATCTTTCCCCAGTTTCTACCCGTTTCTAAGAATAAATCACACAAATTTGTAAAAGTAGAAAGGTTTACTTATATTCAATGAAGGCAGCTACTACTTCTAGGTAAAAAAATGCTTCTTAGTTATGATATACAAAATTAGTTTCTAAAATGGAATCTAGGAAAGTATGTGCCCCCATAAAACTCAGGGGGAGTTTCAACAAATAGTATGAATTGATCGCAGCATGAGAAAACAGAAGCTTTGTGGTGTGTTCTCTATTTTTACCAAATCTACCATTCTCTTTCTGCCTCTGTAGCTTCAACCTTTCCTGAGGAATATCTTGTTTAACAACAGTGCGGGGACACTGTGTTTTTTTAATGAGAAACGTGAGCTAGAAGGTGGATTTGATATTATCAACTGGGTAACTTTCCCAAATAAGTCCTTCTTAAGAGTGAAAGTTGGGAAGATGGATCCCCAAGCACCACTGGGCAGTGATTTCTCCATTGATGAGAAGAGCATTACATGGCACCAGAGTTTTAACCAGGTAGGACCCAATTGCAGCTTCTGAGGTCTATAGGTAGACATGCACCAGATTTGTTTGTTAATCATTTACACCCTATGGAAGGAGTTCCTTTTAGCTGCATTGATTTATGTTGTTGCAATGTTACGTAAGTTATTTTTCTTAATGTGTAATGTGAATTAAAAATCCAATAATTATATAAATTTTAGAAGACTTTTAGAAGACATCTGAAGGCAGCCTTGTTTAGGGAAGTTTTTAATGTTTGATGCATTACGGTATTTTAATATTTTGTTGGAAGCCACCCAAAGTGGCTGGGGAAGTCCAGCCAGATGGGTGGGGTATAAATAATAAATTATTATTATTATTATTATTATTATTATTATTATTATTAACATTTTAGAATAAGAACATCCACATGCTACAAGCACAGTCATCATGCAATGCAAAATTGTGCTTCGTAGGAATCTTTAGTATCATTTCTGTGATTCATTTCTTTAAAGGAACCAAGTTGCCACTTCTCATCTTTAAAAAAATATTATAAAAGGGAAACACATATCAGTAGGTCCATTGTCTTGCACATTTTCTTTCCCTGAACCATTTACTGGCTGAGTGGCTCAGTTGGTTAGAGCATGGTGTTGATAATGCCAAGGTCACAGGATTGATCCCATTTTAGGACAGCTGCATTACAGGGGGGTTGGAATAAATTATTCTCAAAGTTCCTTCCAATGCTACAATTTTTGATTCTATTGCCTTTTTTATTGGGTTGAATATCCACTAATATTGGTGATTGTCACAACCATTGTAAAGTTGGTGGTGCTAATTATTTAAAAAAAAACAAAAAACAACCCTCTGGGTGCCTTATTTCAATGCAGCAGCCTGTTGATGAAAAGGCAGAGACCAAACACAAATAGAATAGAATACATGCAATACCTTCTGTTTTATGGACAGGTGATGCCCCTTGCCTTGTGTAATGACCACTGCCATCCAGGTTACAGCAGACAAAGGAAAGAGGGGGAACCATTTTGCTGCTATGATTGTATTCCATGTCCAGAAGGGAAGATTTCAAACCAGACAGGTAAGGTACTGTATGCTATAGTATATCAACTATATTGAGAACATGTTTTTGTTAGCCATTTGTGAACAAATAGACGCCTTACAAAAGACTTGAAGATAAACCTTTACTTGTCCGGTTGTCAACTGTTGAACAACAAGTATTATTCATATGTGCTTCTGTCCCTTGAGCCCACTGAGAAGCTTTAGTCCTTTTTTGTTTTCAAAGCTCCTTCATAGCAGAGCATAAGTTTATAATCCATATCTTACCTGTCCTCAAAAACTCCTCCAGACAGTGTCTGCTTGAAGTCACTAAACTCCCACGCTCTCAATCAAAGATGCAACTAACAGTAGAACCAACCAACCGTCAAGTACCAACTACCTCCTTCTTCCCCAATACCATTTATTCTTTGTGAAATATATTTACTGTTCTTAAACCACTGTACAAGTGTATTAAATGCTGTACCACTGTACAAGTGTATTATCATAAACAATATTATAAATTGCTAACCAGCATATCTTCTGCTTACCTCCACACCTGAAAACTTCATGGATTGCATGGACAGCAACTTACTTGATCACCAAAATTCTAGAAATGTCAATTCAAGAGAATTTTTTTGGCCATATTCCTAGGTGTGTTAACTGGATTATATTAGCACCTTTAGTCTTCCGTTGACATTAAGCTTCCTTTCTGGGAAAGGAAATTGGTAAATGTAACTTCCTATTTTACAACCATTTCTACTGGTAAGCTGTGAAACATTAATGTTTAATTATTATTTCTCCATTCAGATAGCATGGAAAGCTCCTATTCTAGAATGGGGAATTTTTCTCTCTAAACACACCAACTTTCAATTCTATGCATGTGTAAACACAAACAAACATTTATGGAGCTTATCATTTAGATTTAATTCTCATTTAATTATCCACTGAAAAGAATCTTCCAAAAATAGCTTACCTTAAAGACAAAACATATTAACGCTCTAAGAATTTCCTGAAAAAGATAATGTTTTGTATCATGTATACTATAAATTACATTCAATTATAGTACAGTGAAATTCAAGGTTTCCTGATCCGATACCATAAATATTTATATCTCAGTGAGACTGAAAATACTATAACTGTAATCCTGATTTCTTTATACTGCAAGATATGGATGACTGCTTTCAGTGCCAAGAAGATCAGTATCCTAACCAACAGAGAAACCAGTGCATCAGCAAGAAAGAAAACTTCCTATCTTATGCAGCACCTTTAGGCATCGGTTTGGCTCTTTTGGCTCTGGCTTTTCTGCAACTACGGCTTTGGTGTTTGGAATCTTCATCAAACATCAAAACACTCCCATTGTCAAAGCCAACAACCGGAATCTCACCTACACCCTGCTCATCTCCCTCCTGCTCTGCTTCCTCTGCTCCTTGCTATTCATTGGGCGCCCCCAGTTACTGACCTGCAATCTACGACAAACTGCCTTTGGTATCATCTTCTCAGTGGCTGTTTCTTCTGTTTTGGCTAAAACCCTCACGGTGGTTCTGGCTTTCATGGCTACCAAACCAGGATCCAAGATGAGGAAATGGGTGGGGAAAAGATTTTCCACCTCTATTATTCTCTGTTGCTCATTTATCCAAGCAAGTATTTGTATGCTATGGCTGGGTACTGACCATCCATTCCCAGATCTGGACATGCACTCTCTGCCTGAAGAAGTCATAGTGGAATGCAATGAAGGATCAGCCAACATGTTCTACTATGTTCTTGGTTACATGGGATTGCTGGCTCTTGTCAGCTTCATTGTGGCTTTCTTTGCTCGGAAGCTGCCGGACACTTTTAATGAAGCCAAATTTATTACTTTCAGCATGTTGGTGTTTTGCAGTGTGTGGCTTTCTTTTGTTCCAACCTACTTAAGCACCAAAGGGAAGTACATAGTGGCTGTGGAGATCTTCTCCATCTTGGCCTCCAGTGCTGGAATCTTGGGTTGTATCTTCTCCCCAAAATGTTATATCATTGTCTTCAAGCCTGCACTCAACTCAAAAGAGCAGCTAAAAAAGAGAAATAAGTAACAATCTAACTATTAAAATCATTATAGTTGATAACCTTTTAAATGTTTTAAGGTTTCTCTGTTTGGGAAGGGTTCAGCTTTCAGGTTCTCTTGATATAGATGTTGCTTACTGTCAGAACTGCAGTTGTCAAAATATGGAAAACCGTACAGTACTTGCAGCCTGCTCCAGTATAAAAATATGTGTTGTTTAGTACTAGTTCAAAAAATTGTGTTTACAAAGGCCGTGAATATCATGAAAAATTCTGTGCAGTTTGGTGGGATTTTATCATGTACAGAACACAAGAAATAGAGACACAAAGGAGTCCCTTTCCATGGTACAAGATAAAATTTGGCCTTCCTAATGTTCTTAAGTACTCTACTTATCTAATTAAATCTCTTTCAGATATATTGCTTTTATGTATTTATATTTGTACTTCTACACCTAATATTTTTATTGTATTGTTCTACTTGATTTACTTTGATTAATTATTATAGAACATGTGATAGTAGAGTTGGACGAGATCCTGAAGGTCATCCAGTCCCAACCCCGGAGTGCAGGAATCTCAGCTAAAGCACCCGTGACAGATGGCCATCCAACCTCTGCTTTGAAACCTCCAGTGAAGAAGAGCCCACTACTATCTGACAGTCCACTGTCTAAGAGCTCTTACTGTTCTTCCTGATGTTTGGTCACAGAATCTCCTTTCTTCTAACTTGAATCCATTCGTTTGGGTCCTACCCTCCGGATCAACAGAAAACAAGCTTGCTCCATCTTCCATATGACAGCCCTTAAGATATTTGAAGATGGCAATTATATAAACATACTATAAAGATATTAAACATATGATGGCTAAACATACACACCCATTCAATTGTTTCTCCTAAGGCTTGGTTTCCAGACCCTTGATGATGATGATGATGATGATGATGATGATTATTATTGTGTTTCTGCCTGAGGCGGCGTTTCTCTCTCTCTCTTTTTAAATTACTTTTTTATTCAAAATTAAAACAAAACATATTATCTAGAAACATATCATCCTTATTTTCCCCCTTTTTTCCTCCCTCCCCTCCCTCCCCCCACAGAACCCACCCACCCCACCCCTGACTTCCCTCAGTTCCAGTCTTTGGTTTCTCTAAAAATGCTGTTTTCTGCATGTTACACAGTTGTATAGATCCTCAAACTATTTAAGTAATAATTATCAATAAAAAGTTTGTGAATGTTTATTCAAAACCAGCCAAGGAGTCCAGTTCACTTTGTTGCGTCTTCAGATACTTTGTAAAGGGTTCCCATTCATCTTTAAAGTCACAGTTATCCTTGTCCCGAAGCTTGTATGTCAGTTTGGCCAGTTCTGCATAGTCCATCAATTTTTCTTGCCATGATTCTTTAGTTGGGGTTTCTTCAGTCTTCCATCCTTGTGCTACTAAAACTCTCGCTGCCGTTGTCGCATACATGAAGATGTTTTTCACTTTTTGGGCAGATCTTTCCCTACAATCCCTAATAAAAATGCTTCAGGTTTTTTAAACAAATGTTAAATGGAACATTTTCTTCAATTCGTTATATATCATTTCCCTTTTTATTTTAAATTACCTTACAATCCCACCACATATGATAAAATGTCCTCTCCTTTTCTTTACACTTCCAACATATATTTGAACTAGTTTTGTACATTTTCCCTAACTGCACTGGTGTTATATACCATCTGTACATCATCTTCATGTAATTCTCCTTCAATAGGGAACAATCTGTAAATTTTAAATCACTTTTCCATAATTTTTCCCAGTCTTCCATCATAATGTTTTGACCTACATCTTGTACCCATTTAATGGGAAGTTTTTAATCTGTGATATTTTACTGTATTTTTGGTTTCTATGGAAGCCGCCCAGAGTGGCTGGGGAAACCCAGCCAGATGGGCGGGGTACAAATAATAAATAATAATAATAATAATAATAT